CGCACGTAAAATGATACTTATTCCTGATTGTTAGGAGACAGAATTACTCTTTATACCTATTATTTCCTTTATATACTGCATTTTGGACGACAATACCTAGCGTCCCTTTCGAAATGTTTCCCTGATACTCCGTCAATCACAAAGTCACAACTTTGTCATTTAATCCTGTAATGCATACTGCAGTAAATAAATATAATTAAATAATGCATACGTTACTTCGAGCCTACTATGATCCGGGATATCTCGATATATCGACGGGCTAGGGGCTGGATGACCGGAGTTCGATTCCCGGCAAGGGAAAGAGATTTTTCTCTTCTCTCCAACGTCCAGATTGGCTTTGGCGCCCCTTCATCCTCCTAACAAATACATTCCGGGGGCTCTTTCCCAGGGCTAAAGCGGACGGGGCGTGAAGTTGATCCCTGCCCTCTGTCGAGTGCCTACTTCAGGAATGGTACAGATATATCTCCATTTCTTCATGAGGCTTCATGGGGTGGTGCGGTATTAATTGACACCTTTACCTTTTTTACCATTGCTTGTTGGAACCTATTCCCGTATTTTATAAAGGAAGGTAACCCAGTGGTATATTCTCGTGTTCGTATATCTATCTGCCATATTTAACTTTTGAACTTACTGATGAATTTGAATTAAGTTTGGCGTGAACATTGTACCACTGGAGGTCACCCCACGTCTTTCTTTCTAACATGCCACCATCAGTAGTAAGAACGTGGCAGCTGTGCATGATTTTCAGTTCTGAACGACAATTCGACCACTGATTTCTTTGGTCTGCTACAGGCGTTTGAAATGTGTGAAAATATCTTCGAGAAATGTGCTTCTCTTGTTAAGGCACGGTTGAGGAAACCTGAGGAGGCAGGCCGTCCGCCCAAATACCCCCCCAAAAACAGGCCAGCTACATTTTGTTGTATGTACCTTCCAGACTAAAAAATTGTACAAACGTTTCACACCAGAGTTACTTTTAGTGGTGGAACCACCTTTCACTTGTCCTGAAATATAAATCGGCACCACTTCAGAGAATGGGAAGTCTGAGTTCTCTTTCAATAATCGAGCATGCGAGAGACTGTATTAAGTTCAGTTTTTTTTTCAAGCTACTAATCCTGTCCCTGTAACATGCCGTGAAGACCTATAAGTTTGTGAGACGTCGAGGCTCCCACATTTATAGAAAATCGGCTCACAGAAAGCGGTGAGGTTGTCAGCCTTACGGATCGACCGCTCTTTACCCCCATGAATATTCCTGCTACTCATTTCTGTTAGAGGCTGAGTCTAACCGAGGGCCATAGTGTGGCTGGAAGGATTAGTTCAATTGAAAAATCCAATCGCCTCATCATGAATTGAACCTGCGTCCTTCCATCTTGTAACATAGTGCCTCAGTCAGCTACCAAAACAAGCGTTCCGACCTTTCTTCATTGCAGAAGCTATTGGGATTAGCACTGTGTAGTTGTGCTCTGCTGTGTCCTGTTGTCTCTTATGCCTGAAGTGGTCTCTAATGAAAGGCTTCTTCAACTAGCTGCAGCTTATAAGACAACTAAACAAAACTGTTTTATTCAATCAAAAATTTTTCTTTCTGTTGTCTCAGTTTTAAACAGTAATTCCATAACGGCTGAGAACCGAATTCATGTTGAAGTAATATTTATCACTCGATATAATCCAATTAATGACATCCTGAAACCCGCAGACGATACGCGGTGTAGTCTACGTATAAATGCCTGTGTGAGCGAGCGAGCGAACGAGTGAGGGAGGGAGAGATATACATATCGCCAGGCGTGACACATCTCGGTGTTTTGCTTTCTGCACACCTTACATTCCTTGCTTCAGAGAATAACTTCCTCTCTCCTTTTTGCTTATAAATGAAAGTTTCTTTGACGCTGTGTTTTGTTAACATTATTTTACATAGTCATTCTGTATTTCAAGCGAAGTATCGAGAGTTCTGCCTCAGAGCTTATTGTGATCTGTCATAGTTTGCTTTTGCTTTTCCTAACCGGCAAACGGGGATTGTGGCTTGCAGTGATGTAAAGGAATAATCAGCGCAGATTACAGAAGATTTCAATTTCGTTCTTTGCAATGGGACATTCTTGAAATACTCATTTTGCGAATAATCTTAAGATAGGGAGTAACTCTATCTATTAAATGCTGCGCCATAGCTCAAGCGGTTAGTCGCTGACTTCCCACCGCGGCGGCCCGGGCTCGATCCCGGGTCTGGTCAAGTGGGATTTGTGGTGGACAAAGTGACACTGGGGTAGGTTTACTCCGAGTACTTCGGTTTCCCTTGCCAATCTTCATTTCACCAATTGTTCCACAATCACCCTCACCTATCATCTGGGGGTGGTACAATGGACCAGAAGTGGCGGCAGTGCAGGGGACTTAGTCCCACCCCACTAGCAATAAAAAAACTCTATCGATTGGGCCAAAATGAGTAGGTTTTAACTGAAGACGGAAATAGAATCCAGTCTCCGAGACATTGTATTTTGAAATATAAACAGGACGATGTTTTTAGATAAAAATAGGACGATAGACAATGTCCAGAAACATAATATATATACTAATATACCATCGTCACAAATTTTTAGGTCTTACTTGCTGAAGACGTTAAGAAGATGTAGTACAGCTGTGGTTAGGGCAGTCACTATTATCACTTTAGTTGTTGGATTTCGGAAAATGCGGGCATTTCGTTCCCACCTTAGAATTTTATGCGTATGCCATATTATTGTTACCGACTGCAGGAAATTAAAGATAAGATAGTAGGAAATTTAAACAAAATCCTCCCAATGTTTCTCGAATTGAGATATATAGACAGGCAGCAGGTAGGAAGGCAAATAAGTTTTTTTTTGTGTGTGTGTGCTCCATGTTCACGTTTCTCGTACAGAGAACGCATAATAATAATAATAATATATCAGTTACTAAGAACCCTAACGAAGACTGCTTATTGTTTTTGCTTTTTGGCGTACAGTTTAGTGGAATAAACGAAGGGGAAACAGAACTTCCCCAGTGGAACCTACATCGTAGTTCGCTAAACGTTTCACACAGGACTCGGATTTTGAACCCGGACAATATGAACAAGATCAGTCATAAATCCAAAGATTGATGTTTTGCAAGGAAAGTCTGAAATAAAACTGTGTTTTCTGTATTTGAAATGTCTTAAAAATTGTCTGACATAAATTTATAAGTCTGCGTAACTACTCCCCTCTTAGTGTCGAGGGTAAGATATTTGGAGGCGTACTTCAGCTTTCCGTAAGTCATAATGTCTTAGCCCTTAACTAAGCACAAGAATATCTTTACCTTTTATTTTACATGAGCTCTTAAAAATGTAGTTTTTTTTCTCTCTTCGTAATCTATACGAAATCAGAAACAACGTTTTCTTTATTGAGAATATTCGAGCAGAACCGAGCCCTCAAGAATCAGGCCGAAGATTAAGAATAATATCAACGTACGTAGGTCTGAGTGAAACATGTTGTGATGAATTGCTGAAATGCACATAATGCTATTTCTTTGAGGTCTTTTGTTGTAGGGTGTTATGTACATCGTACTGTAGGAAATTCATAATATGCTACATGATTTAGGCTCTAGCCTGCCATAATTTGTGCCCATTAAAGGCACAGCCTCATCACACAATTATGAAAAAAAATATTTCTGACGAAGCACCAACTTCGCCGGCAAGCGGCAGTCGCTCGGTCGGTATACTTCGCTTGCGGATTACAGGTCATGGAGTTTGAACGAAGCTCACGTCGACGCTCTGTTATTCTGTCAGTTCAACAAAAGATAACATACTAGTTCTTAAGCTAAATCCTTAGAAATGTGTTCACAGAAATGTTTAAAATGTTTTATTATATAAATTCTTTCCTTGAAAAAGTAACAATTTGTTAAAAATACACGATGATCACACACCGTGGGTAGTGTTACCATTTCATTCACCTTAATACTCTACTTCTGTGCGTTCTAATATATCTTGTATGTCGTGATTGAGTAGAGTACATATCTCCCTTTCTGTTACATGAAATGTCGGATGCTGCATGCCCATAGAAAATTACGCCTTATAGCCTAATTCTATTTTTTCATACGTTACTGCATTCCTGAGGGAAATAATAATTCATACAATCAGGCTGAGATGCTGAAAGTTAAACCACAAATCTGCCATGGTAGTAGGACATGTAGAATGAACTGGGGAAATTAGAAATATTGTATATACAAAATTTTAATCACCTCATTAACTTAGAAACTATATTCTATGGAATTAGGTTCCATTTTACGTCCTTTCCGGCTACTAAATTACAACCGCCGGTTAGTCTATGAATATTCTGATCACGAGTATTTCCTTAAATTGGAATCTATAACTTTCTTTATTAAAATCCGTCACGAAACAACAACAAAACAGTTTTATTTAACAATATTTTACTACATGTTTCGGCATTTTATTCATCAGGCAAATACACAATTAACGTGTTCTTAAGCTATTGAATTGTATGCAATATAATTCAATGTAGTGTATGCAATTCAATAGCTTAAGAACACGTTACTTGTGTATTTGCCTGATGATGGCTTTGTAAAAAGCTGAAACATGTAGCAAAATACTATCAAACATCAACTATTCTACTTCTGGCTTATTTTGGACTTCATCCATCGTCTGGTATGTAAAATACAAAAGACCACGACGTTTCGGAGACTGGATCTGTCTCCGTCTTCAGGTGGGTAGGGAAGGACAAAACCTACTCAGTTGGGTCCGTTAGAAAGAGCTAGTCTCAATCACTGGACCAATCACTGTCTTTCACATACCAGACGATGGATGAAGTCCAAAATAAGCCAGAAGAAGTACAGTATACACCATCGTCAGAATCCTTTCAAGTCTATCAACTGTTTTGTTGTTGTGTTGTGACAGATTTTAATAAAGAAATTTATATATTTAACACAACAAGATGCATCCGTTGAAGGTTAAATTAGAATCTGCCTGCCCTTCTATACATGACCTTTGTTCTAGGCCATCCGCTGAATAAGTGGCTTCCTTTCGATATTTTCTGGGCGCTTTGGTAAGTTTTACATTTCCGTGACAGTCTTAAACTTGGAAATGAACTCTGCATGATTATAATTACGGACTGATAAAGCCTTCCCCAAGTGTTCTGCAGTTGGCTCCACGTGCATCAACAAACCCTTGGCATGTAGCCTAATCGGAGCTCGATTTCACGGAACTGCGGGTCCAGTATTAAATGACTGAGGGTGAAATTCTCTTTCTTTATTTCGCGTTTCTCTGATTTTCCATCGAAATCCTATCTCTGGTCTCAGAAGAGTCAGTTTGCATACTTATACCGGATAATTTTTAAATTTTCCAAATGTTTCGAAATGCCCTACTAATGTGTTATGATACTACGCAGGTGAGGAAAGACATTTACATTTCTTTCGTGCAAGTACCATCAAATATTTGCCCATCCGTACTTTTCGAATAGATGTGTTTTGCATAAAGGGTAGTTCTGAATTAGGGGGGACGTAATGGGACATCAGGGAACTTGGTTCTGTTTCTCTTCATTCTATTGTTTATGTTTGTGGTTGTGATGTTGACTTTTATGATCGACTTTCTTGTCGTAATGGGTTTGGTGACCATGCTTTTCCTCGTGTCCATGATGCCCCTTATGACCTTTCTGATCTGAGGACTTATGTCCCTTGGCGTATTCACCCTTGTTCCCGTGTTTCTCTTCTTTGGATCCTTCCTGTACAAACAAAGCATGGCATCAATCGATATATTCATGGCCTTATACACTGTGGTAATTTCTTTCTGAATCTATATAATTCATTGTGGCTTCTGAGTCTGTACAAGACTAACAAATGTGTTTGACTTGTAATGTATCCGTTATGATGACAGCTTTTACATGTATAAATTAGAAGTATATATATAAATTATGAATAAAAGTAAGACTAAAATGACAAATAAGTTTACGTTTTATGCTGGATGGTCGTATAAACGTAAAGGAAGTGGGCAACCTTTTGTCAAGGGCGACATTGTATGTGGTGTAAGATTTGAGGCTTTCACGGCGGTGACTATGAAGAAAGCAGTCTTCTGGGATTTGGCACCGTGTATATGTGGTGTTAACCGACGTTTCGGAGGAACGTATCGCCCCCATCTTCAGGGTAGAAGAAAAAGTATAAGAAATCTGCAAGCGACAACACCGTGAGAAACGGTAAAGCAGACTGCTTTACCGTTTCTCACGGTGTTGTCGCTTGCAGATTTCTTATACTTTTTCTTCTACCCTGAAGATGGGGGCGATACGTTCCTCCGAAACGTCGGTTAACACCACATATACACGGTGCCAAATCCCAGAAGACTGCTTTCTTCATTGTATGTGTTATTTCTATGTTATACTGCAACTGTGGCCATTCCACATCCTGTTCTCTTGAAGGACAGAGATCGAAGGTATATTGTTGGATTTTGAGAAATGGCGATATTATGAACCGAATGGCTCTAAAATCTACAGAAGGAATAAATAAATGGCTTTGAGAGAAGCTATTGTAATCACAAATTCTATACTGAGTGGCGTAGCCTGAAACCGGATCTAGGGCCTTTTGTAACCAAGGCGAAATTATGTCCGCTTATGACACAGGTTTTCTTCGGACGATTTAGTCTAAACTCTGAGGCTAGCAGGAATTATAAATAAATGTTAATGTGGATGATTATTCTTTCATATATATATATATATGATTTCCACTAGAAGGTTAACAGAGTCCGACTGCTAATATTTTTTTTTCCAGTTACCACTTTGAAGTTTCTCACTGTTGCTGTATTTGTAATTGTTAAGGCACAAGAAGTGTTTATCCCAGAAATTGAAAGCATATCTACTTGACACACAAAACTCCATGTGTCTGGCTTCATAATTCATTGTTTGTTTTATTTACATTAAAACCTGGGCATGAAATTAGTGCGACCGCTGTGCTTTTTATAAATTTTATAAAAAATCTTTGGGAAAAGTTTCCTATTTCTCTTTAAGACCTGTTACGGCACAAATTAAAGAAATTTCTGGAAAATGTGTAAATGAAACAAAACTCAGGTTATTTACAAGGAGTTTAGAAAAGCGATAGAAGAGTAGAATTTCGTCAACAACAATGGAATACACCGCGCATTGAGGTACAGTGTACTGTGTTCTTGTTCCTTAATCGGGAGGTTCTGGATCCGTGTCAGTGACAGAGGCTTGTTATCCTGAGAGGTCCTTTGTGGTTACTTTAGACTAGCTGTTCCCAAACTTTCTCAGGCCACCGCCCCCGTTATTTCCGAAAACTCATCCACAGTGCCCCTCCCCTACCCTATAAAAACATTCTTCGCAATAGCGGTTTGCACCTCCCACGCGATGGATGGGCTTGATGGAGTTCCAGTTTCCGCAATGTCTGGTCTAAAGTCTCCACTCTCGGAGGGGCCTAACTCCAGCGCCCCTTGCCTTACCCTTCCTTCTTATCCCCACTGAAGTAATCCCACCGCCCCCAACGGGTAATACACCTTTCTTTTTATTCGCTTAGTTGGGGGTGGAGTCCAACTGGGTCCACTCGGCACGGCGGCCACTGATTGGCTTATTGTAGCGTGCCCAGGGTGATTATGATGATGGATAATTTGATGGAATGAAGACTGGCAAGGTAAACCGAAGTACTCGGAGAAAACCTGCCCCAGCGCCACTTTGTCCACCACAAATCCCACTTGACAATACCCGGGTTCGAACCCGGACCGCCGTGGTGGGAAGCCAGCGACTAACCGCTCGAGGTATGGCGCGGCCTAGTACACCTTACTCTGGGAACCACTGCTATAGAACCTCTACGAAAATGTTAGATAATACAACAACAATGTGTCTCTACTGCTTCTCTCAACTCATTTCCTATCCCATCATTCGGGGCTGGTACAATTAGCTCGTCTGAGTTCACAGGGCCGAGAAGCTCAGTCTGGCTTTGCTCTCTAACTGAAATGCCATAATAAGGCGTCTTATGAGAACAGAAAACTCAAGAAGAGGATCTACTTAGATCACTGGCAGAAGGAAAAATAAACTTACCGCATGTTTACCGCCCTTGTCGTGCTTATCCCCGTGCCTGTGATAATGTTCGCCGTGCTCCCCGTACTTGTTAAACTTCCCGCTCTCATGGTTGTTACTCCAGTATTTGTCCAACTTGTGGTATTCATCCTTGTGGTACTTGTCACGGAATCCCTGCATTGGACGAGTCAAAATGTTATTTCTGTATGGTTAAAGTCTTTCGCTCTTCTAATTTACTATGATGTATAATATAACATGTAATTTTAACCCTTTGAAGGCTTAATTTATTCTAAATTTTTTATAAACATTCAGTTCATATCTCATAGGAAACACAATAAGTCTTTGCTGCAAAGATCAGCCGGTTAATGCTGTTTAGGGAGACAATCACCATTTACTGTGAGAACCGTTCAAGAGTCACGAATACACTCTGTGAAGGGTTTTAGTATGTTAAAGCAGACGGCACTTAGCTGGGCTTTAAGGGGTTATGAATTATCGAATTAGTCCTCTATGCCCTTAACACGTGAAGAGTTGTAAATAATTAAGGAAAATTTATGCGCAAATGTGATCGTTATATGTACGCATAAGGGTTTGATTAACATTAAAGATGAATAACTGAAAATATGTTTTATTTGTCTTGTGTAATGTTCCATATTGTAATAATTACGTTTGAGGCTATAGAATTTAAGAGAGTGCTCATCAGAGATGTCAACCTCGAATCATTATGGCTACCATTTGGAAAAGAATTCTCTTTCGAGCTTTGAAGTATCGGTTGCGTTAATTGTATGATGCTTCATCACCGTTTCTTTTGTTGCGAACTAACGGCGTTAAATCCGCAAACAACTTTCATAATATTTTAATTATACGCATGTATGATTTAAAAGATGCCATACCCGTACCAATGTATAGGCAAGCACAAAAGCACGATAATAAAACTGCTTAGTGCTTCCCTTGGACCAACGTATATAAATAATGTATGTAAGTAAAAGTAAAAGTAAAGGCATCCCTGTAACAGGCCGTGGAGGCCCACAGGGTTGTGAGACATTGAGGGTCCCACGGTTTCTCTAGACAATCGGCTCACAGATGGCGGTGAGGTTGTCAGCCTTACGCGCCGCCTGCGCTTTACCCCCAGGAAGATTCTTGGTGCTCATTTCTTTTAGAGGCTGAGTCGACCCCAGGACCATAGTGCGACTGCAAGGATTAGGTCAATTGAAAATATCCACCTCCTCGCGATTCGATCCCGTGACCATCCGGGTTGTAGCGTAATGCCTCAACCAACTACGCTACCGCGTGCCCCCAGATAATGCGTGTAGGTTAACTAAATGTACCTCATATGCAGATGAGTATTATATAGGTCCTAAGGAAGACACTGAGGGTGGCTTTGTAAGACATATATATATGTATGTATACACACACACACTGAAAACGGAACCTTTATACAAGCATTTAAAGTTATTATTTTTGGGCTCGTCCATAGTCCGAATTTAACAGAACCATTATGTCGAGGAAACTGTTTCTATTGCGTCTTCAGATGAAGAGCATACAAAATAAAGCCTAACCGTATGGGATTCCTGGTAGACGTACTCAACTGGCTAGAGAGAGATAATTTTATATAATACTCTGTTAAGCTGTAGACGGAAACAGAACAATTTTCCTAAACGTAGTCCTGTTGGTAAACTCTGAAGACGGGAAGAACAGAATATAATAATTTTAAAAATCGTGTCTCAACTACACAGTCGTCAAAAAAACTTTAAGCTTAGTTCGGTATGAAAGTTTTATGGCATCAAGATGAAGGAAACACAGAACACAGGCTTTATAAGTTTGAGAGTCGTATCACCAGAAGATAGTAGAATTTTGCAAAAAGAGTTTAATATATTTTTCACTAAGTCCCGCTCGTGAACTGGCGGTAACTATTCTTAGTATGCATGTGAAACTTCATTGCTGAATTGAACGGTTTTTGTTCTGTGCCGTATGTATTTCCGTGTTTTTTTTTT